CAGCGTGCGTCCTAGGGATTTATTGAGCAGTTGAACTACTCCTCGGCTCTAAATATCATCTAAGCTGGATGGTAATTCGAGATGAGAGACTCGTGAGAAGGATACGGCGGGATGATAGATATTTACGAAAGTGGCTCTTGATGACCAAGCCTTTCGATGACTGGTCGGCCACGAGATCGGAGCTGGCAGAACGGGACGTTGGTGGTTATGTAGGGCGTACCAAAATATGAGCTTCACGGCAGTCGACTCCCGCTAACTCGGCTCGATAGTTTGCTAATTAGGGAGCGAAGTTATGACTCCTCGTGACCTTGTTTAACAAATGTGGATTGGCAATGGTCGTTGTTCCAAGGTGGACCTGGTTCGGTGCGGATCCAGGCAATCAAATTACGAGTCAAGACGGGTGTGACGTGGTGAAGGCGCTATGAAGTCTAGTATCCGGACTTGATGGTTGGGATAGTAGTTGAGAAGAGCGCGGCGCTGGGTTATTGTTCGTCGGGGTTTTTTGTCAGTGGTTTTTATTAACTGGCTCGACTGGACAAAGACCGCTGGCCGGGTTTGAATGGATCAGATCAGGTATGCGGAGAGAGATGTCGTGACCGATTTTAGGGGGGTCAAGTGGAAAGGAGGAGCAGGAGTTGTTAAAAGAGACCAATGGTCACCCTCAAAGGAAGGAGAGCTTTCTATTAATTAGGATAATGGGGATAGGAAGCTAAGATCCAGATCCCTTTCTCTCGTTACGTTGGTTGGCACTTTTTGGGAAAACGGAAGCAGGGAATCAACAGCTAGGTGGATAAGAGAGAAGGGGACAGAGAGCGACGGAACGAAGATTAAGATAGAGAGATGAGTAAGTAAGATGTTGAGGACGATCGGTAAAAGAAGAAGCGGTAGGAAATGGACGGATGAATTGGGAGAGAATAGTGAGAAAGAGAATGATAGCAAAAGCCTTGGTATGACCCGAAGGGGGAGATTGAACAACGAACTTGGCTGTGTGGAGGTGGATTTGGCTCGACCTCACTGGGTCCACTAGAACCAATTGTGGCTCTACTGGCTACTGGGCTACTGGGCTACTGGGCTGCTGGGCTACTGGGCTGCTGGGCTGGGACATTTTGGGTGGTGGGACGACCATGGAGCGATGCAGGCAGTCAATGGATGGCGTGAATGGATAGTGGAAGGAGAGAACTTGGTGCTGCGCCTAAGTGGAGCTTCATGTACGTATGTACGTAGTTCGTGACCGGGGGAAGAGGAAGGAACAAGGAAAGGACAAGGGGGACTAAAAGGGACCCAAGGGGAACACAAGGACAGAAACAGCAGCAAGGAACAACAACTGCTGCTGGGGTCTTTGTTCTAGTACCGTTGTGTACCTATGTAGTTAGCTCTGGACCTCTACTAGTATGTACATATATGAGGTATATATGTATAGGTATCTACATGTAAGTAGCTTGAGTAACAGTGTTTATACGGTAGATAGAGTAATCAATAGAAGGCGATGACGATAGAAGGACTAGATTAATTTTAACAGAATGCCACGCCATCTGATAGCAAGGTACGTTCCTGAATGAGACCTGAATGGTGGAACTCCCGTGTAAACGCTTGGGGTGCATAAGGTACCGAGATAGCTGTTTCGTCAGACGCGACGTTGAAATTTGGCTCGGCCGTAAACTGATTCACAGTATAAACAGTACGGGTTAAACACTGAGTAGGAACCGAAGAGATTCGATCGGGATTGTCATGTAATCTCCCAATGCTCCCCAATCAATCTCCCAAGCTCTGTATGTACATTAGGTACATACATAGTAGCGGCAGGCCAACTGGAAGCTTATCGAATCATGGACCACGCGGACAAGCACGGACTCCAGTAGGAATGTCGCTAGGGGATGCACCGTATACAATAGTTCTAATAAGACTACTACCTTGAGGCACAAGCTAGTCCAGGATCGCCACACCGCCATCTACCTAATGAGAGAGTACCCCGATAACAGATTCTCACTGCAGAAAAGCTGACAGCAAGGGGTTGAGAGACCAGAGATTCATGTATTCCTCCTTCCCAGTTAGAGGGATCTACATGTACACTCTATATCCTCGACAAGGTATTACATTAACAAGCCATTGAACAGCATTGAACGTCTGCTGGTGATTTCCAGGCAGGCATACATAAAAGTACATAGAAAAGGGAGACTTGGACACGTTGCTACAAGACCCCACGATCATCTCTTGATGACAGCCAATGATTCGCGTCTCGATTCTTCCAGCATATTCGGTTTCACTTAGAAGACAGGCTGCTTACTTATTGGTTTAAAGGTTATGCACTCCTTTTTACCTGCATCAGTACATTTATCAGTACATCTTTACGTACATCATGTCTTTACATAACATTTTAACTTCTAAACTTTGCCTAGCTAGACTTGTAGCTTGACTTATACATACATAGTTGAATGCTTTTTTGCTCCAAGTTGACCGCCTTTGTGTATAATTTCAATTGCTGCAGGACACCGGACACCATCTTTCATAGTCGGGTCAGCGCATTTACATAGGAAGGCCAACGAGTTTAAACATGTACCCGATACTTGCCAACTTTCAAGTCGGCCAAAGCGTCACACATAGGAGATTATTATGTAAAAGAAGTCGATTCATATTAAAAGGGTGAATCACAGCTAGCTTAAGGTTGGACGAGCGCGAAAACTCGAGCACCTGTAAACAATATGTAGAACAACATTGAACGACAGAGAATTGCGAATTGAAAGTTACCCGACATTGGATGGCACCCTACGGCGTATCGCGACCCCTGAATTGTTGGGTCCTCTTGGTCCCTCTTGGTCTTGGTATTTGCCGGCTGAGTCTGGGGCAATCCTAGTCGGACTCTAATTGATACGTCTGATGCGAGTTGGCATCATCTTTCCTTAAAAGGCGACAATGTGCATACATAGTAGTGTAAATTCAATCCTACGCGAAGCAGATCTCACGATGGGGAAGCGGAAGACTACCGAGTTACATACAAGCTTCAATTGAGCATGATGCAATAACGAGGACAAGATGACTGATCGTTTCGCCCCCTTTTCGGCAAGCATGGAAGAAGACATTCCACAGTAGTGTGTGCTCCGTAGAACAGTAGAACAGTAGAACAGTAGAACAGTAGAACAGTAGAACAGTAGAACAGTAGAACAGTAGAACAGTAGAACAGTAGAACAGTAGAACAAATGGACACAGTTGTGTCCCAAGACTTGGGACGGATCTCTGTCGTGTGACCTAAAAACGGCAGTGTCTTAGTATTTCCCCCACCGCATTCCAGTAGGAGCAATACTTTTTCGTACACGTTCGTACACTTTAGTGTAAATCCGATAAGCTCATAATAGACCGGAAACAGTAGCGTCTTCCTACCCTTTCCGACACGGCCGAGATGCCGTCGTCATACATAACTGACAACGCAAAGAAACGCGTTCGACGGTTTCAAGCCCAAAATATTTTGGATCTCGTCCGAAAAAGCAATCCCCCCAAACAACACGCGAGCGAGTCAGACTCTTGCCGCAAACGGCTTCAAAGGTAATGCGTTACGGAACCCACTTATTGAATCGAACGCTTTGGAGATCGATGGATTGCGTGAGGGGGAACGACCCCACGCGGGCTCGGGCAACGTCGAAATAACTAGCGACACGCTGCCCGAAACACATTTGATCTGTTACAGCAAGCGAGACGTGGTTCATTAACAGAACACAGATATAGAGCCGATCCGGCGGTGAAGACGGAGATGGACAGACGATGGGCAGATTCGCAGCGCTATATCGCTAGGCCGAAGACTTATCAAGTTTCTAATCATTTATGATTGCGCTAAGTTGACGGAACTTGGCGTTGAATGACACGATATCATCATATTAGATATCGTATTGTAGTGTAGTGTAGTGTAGTGTAGCTGTCCGCAGTTAGAGGTGGACCGTAACTACAAACGCCGTGGCTGATAGCTGAGGATGGCTGAGATGCATCGTGCAGTTAGCCTCTCGGCGTTGTCTAGAAGTAAGTGCCCTTCGTGCTCCAAGCATGAATAATAAGGCGCCAATACTAGTAAGTCAGCATATAGGTACTGGCCGGATAATACCAAATTGGCGATAGACTTTCCTAGCTAGACGATAGTCATCCCGTTAACGAAGACACATGATAGCTAAAAAGAGTCGAGTCGACTTACTGTCTTAGACTTGTTTATTGATATTACTACACTACGACACCATACATTGCCGTGGAACCAACCGTACCAGTTATCCAGTTGGATGGACACACGTCGTACCACAGCCTTCCCATAATACCAATCAAGTGATTTGTTTACTTGGTTTATTTGGTTTATTTGGAGGTTAGCAAGTTGGAAAGGTGGGTTGGCCGGGACTCCAATGTTTTCCGGCTAAGTAGCCGATATGCAGAAACGATGCAAAGAGGATGCAAGAAGACGCAACCACGCAAACCCACGATGTACAAGATGCACAAGATGCAGTAGTCTCTTCGATCTTGAGTGGTCTATTCTGTTTTTAGCCTTATCGATTTAGTCCACTGACCCACTAAGTCGTTTAAGACCCGCTAAGTACGTATCTGTACCCGCTTAGCACGTTGTCCTTTCCGGTTTCTTAAGATCTTAAGATTTGTTATCGAAGTTTATCGTTATCTGCCCTGTCAGCCTACCCCCCCTCCCCCTCCATCTTGATATTTCCCTTGTCTCTACTTTTCCCATCTTGGAGTTCGTCAATCATCTATCCTCCGCTTGGAACACTTGGGGGCTGCTACTACTAACTTTGGTGCATCAAACTCTACCAAGACCTTGTTGGTGCAGTAGCGCGATACAGAGTGCGTTCCTGGGGGACAAGGCTAGGGATCCATTTGACTTTTACTACCTTACCATTCGAGCATTTTTATTTCTTGACCGCCTTCTCGACGACACGCATCAAGACGCAGTGTGCCGTACGGCTGTTTTTCCTTCCCTTAAACATTACTATCCTATTCGGTGTTATCCTCGGTCGGAGCTGAACCGCAGAAGCAAGAAGGAAGAGAGAAAAATTTTCCTCCTGCACGTCAAATTATTATTTCATGCTCTCATCACCACGTTTTTTTTTTTACCTTCGCCTTCACCGCTCTGCACCGACGGGTAGACTAGTGTTGGTTTCCGCCCCCAGCCCGATAGAAATTTTCGCTGAGATCTTAAGATCTTGAAGACGCGATATTCCAAGAGAACGGAAGACCCACGGTCCCAGTTGCCGTCATGACCCCATCCAGCCCTGTGAAAGTGGTGCTTTTAGACATTGGTAAGGACAGCTTCTGAGCCTGACCTTGCTTGCCCTTGCTTCATATCATTATCATCGTCTAGTAGTTTAGACCTCTGGACGCATTAGCCTGGGCGTGCTGGCTAATACGTATCCTTCTAGAGGGCACAGTTTGTCCAATCTCCTTTGTCAAAGATGTCCTGGTAAGACATTCCGTTGGAAACCTCGTGTCTCCAACTCTCAAATCCCCCAACCCTACCACCCTTGTAGTATAACCCTGTATACCAGTACGTATGGCGATCGACCGCTCAGATAGTGGATGTAATGCGCCGTCCGTCTACAGCAGTTTCGGACCACTAGACTGTTATGTAACCTGGGGTTAAGTTGTCCAGGATAGTTATATCCCGGCTATGACGAATTACGTCGCTTGGTATCTCAGCATCTAGCAACGTTGCTATGCTGGATTACTTTCGTTGGCTTATTGGAATGTCGATAAAGGAGTCCACGTTGACTAATACGTGGTTCTAGTTCCCCTACGCACTAAGTGTTCTACCGGAGACATTGAAAACCCAATGGGATAGTCCAGACTTTGCAAAGTATAGAGACGCGTTTCCATCAGAATATTCCTCGTCTAAGGATGCGCTAGAAGCACATGCCAGGGACCTTATGGAAAAGGATGTAAAAATCTCCTATCTCAAAAACCTCCAGGGCTACCTATGGGCGGAGGGCTACGCTTCAGGTGACTTGAAAGCCCCCCTATTCCCGGATGTTGCCGCAAAGCTATCAGAATGGCAACGCAAGGGCCTAAAGATAATGATCTATTCGTCTGGATCTGTGGCGGCACAGAAGCTGTTCTTCGGACATACAGACGCCTCCCCGTCCGATCTGACACCGCAGATCTCAGACTGGTTTGACACCGTCAACGCCGGGCTCAAGACGGAGACAGATAGCTACAAGAAAATTGCCAATCAACACCCCGAGTTTTCGTCCGGGGAGTGGCTATTCCTAAGTGATAACGTTAAGGAGGTGGAGGCTGCTATCCAAGCTGGCATGCAGAGCGTGGTCGTTCAGCGTCCTGGAAATGCACCTTTATCGTCCGAGGTATCACAGCGGTTACGAGTCATAGAGACCTTTAATTCCCTCGACGATGATCTAAACGTGCGCACGAAGTAACTGGCCGCCCGGGAAGGGCCACCAAGGCTAGCCAACGAGCAGAATACCGCCCCCGTATCGGGGGCGCTTACTATAAGTCGAGAGGATGACAAGCAAATCGGACTAAAAGGAAATGGTTGAGTGCAACTTGGCTAGCCCGGCGGGCCAATCCGAGCTGGTCGCTCCGGTTGATAGTATCTAAAGGACTTGCAAATCGGCCGGCACTCAACTCGACGTGGGGGAGCTCACGGTTTGTAGGCTAGTTAGCAGACCGATCGTTTCCTAGAGGATCCAAGTGTTCCCTATATCCCGAGCGTGATGATTAAAGGCCAGCCACCCGTAGCTTCGTGCAGAACGGGCCTAGATAGTCAAGCGACTATTGCTCTAGTAGGCTGAGAAACTGTGCCCTTTTAGAATCATCCATTGTTCCAGTATGAGAGCCGAAACAGAGGAATTGGTGTCTCTTCGAATCGATCAGAGACAGGTACACTTGCGTAGCATCTCGTTTCACCGGTTGTTGATGTCTCGGAATCGTCGACGGGTTTCTCCAACGATAGGTATCGCTGGTGACCCCTTACAGCTGGCAATTATCCTCATCCTCCAAGCAATTTTCCGCATCACTCGGGAGGCGAGTAACGCTCGACGTAAACTAGCATCTAGCCCATCAAAAAGTCCCGGCAATAACGCATGATTACACTACACGCATTGATTCCGCGAAGCTGAGGTAGCTAGCCTGTTTCTAACGGGTCTATTCAGTCTCCGACCCCGCAGCGCCCCCCGGCGATCTCCAACGCAGGCGCACGCGTGATGATAAACTAGTGGATAGTTTCACGACGGCCCCCGGCTACCTAGGTCTATGTAATTAAAAAGAAGGTCGGCGATCGTGGCTGGGACATCGTTTCCGTGCTACAGGATGGATGAAATCCGGGGTAAACGAACTACGTAGGTATGGACATAGTGTACTGCATGCATGACTCGTAAGTAAGGAGTATCCGCCAAGGGAGTTGTCTATCAGTCTATACATGTACATTTATGTTAGGTAACGAACTGCGTAGTTGATTTGATTGCTTGATCGTCCGTCCGTCATCTGACCAAAGCGGGGGGTCTGGTCTTCATCAACTGGAGCCAAGCCCCCATCTTCATATGTGCCGTGTGTAGGTATGCATGTACGTCTTTGTGTGCATAGGCAAGTAAAGAAAGGCACCAGCTTTCGCCGTTGCCGCTGGCAACTCTAGTTCTTGAAACGTAATATCGTGGCATCGTGACTAGATTCCCGGTTGGAGTGACGCCGCCTCAACGTACGCAGGGCCTACTCCCTCCCACGAGGGCTTGTCGTCAACCTAGGGGTCTAGAACACATTCCAGGAACGCCATCTTGACAAATAGGAGGCGTGACTAGCCAATTAGGCGTCTAGCAGATGTCGATATTATGTAGCTAAGGAAGTAATGACACTCAGACGCCCTTGAACTCATTATCGTTTCGAATCGCATTGGTCCATTGCTGGTTAACAACTTGCCCCTGGTTGGAGCTGGCCTGACTAAGGCGAGTCGGGAGATAGCCTTATCTATGCCCAAGGAACAGACACGCGCTCGTCCGGCCTAATATCGTCGTCGCTATGGCATTCCCATAAACAATAGTCCCAGTAACGAAGCGTGGCCGCAACGAATACCCCGGGTAAAGTTGCCGCGTAGAACGCTAGCAACTACAGGAGAAACAGTAGTATACGTTTCAAGTAGGATCGCCAATATATTCCCCAATATCACACTAGCTCAGGTAATCACATACGACCGAGGGAGTTGCTGCATATTTGTGAACTTTAGCAATTGATCCTTGCGGTGGGTGAGATATACGTCTCCATCACCAATCATCAGATAAATATATCGTCAGATATTTCGACTGTTCCCCTTAGACGGGAACCCGGAGTGCCCCAAAAGCCGTTTAATCGGTTCCCATACAAATGGCTCGGACGTCGCCTGACCCGAATTTCGATCCAAGCCTATCGGGTAGATAGACGATTGACTGCGGGGTAGACCTAGCACCACACGAGTCCACTGACTGGCGATCTCGATAGATAGATGGAAAGGTGCCCTCCCTACTAACCCAGCTGTCAGAAGCGCATCCAGTGGGATACACACCGGGCAGAATAAAGTAAGGGGTAGGGCGGAAAGATGACTGACACTAACCTGAGGTGGTAGCGCACGCAGACTGCAACCCCTTCCCAAGAATAAGCGACGAGAGCGTTATCAGATTAGCGCGGCGACGGTACCCACCATCGCAAGTTCTGTCGACATGTTCGAATCGATTAGGTGGCTATGCGTCTCATTTGCTCGCCTTGTGGGTGTGAACGGCACTTAGAGTTAGTTAATTGAAAAACCGGCTGTCACCCTGATGAGCCGCGAATCACGATGGCGAAGTTGTTTCTCGAGTGGCCAGATCGAAGTTCCAACTTCTTGAACGTCGTAAGAGGCGATTGGAGCGGCGATTTCCTGACCCAAAGGTAGTAGACAAGCTTCTGAGTGGTCTTGCTCTGGGCTTTTACGTAACCCAATGCTCTCATGATAGATTCTATATGAGCCTCGTTCATGTATCTTGAGTTGGTGATGCACTATAATAATATTCATTGGTTAGCAATATCTGTTGTAGTAGTAGTAAGTAAACGTATAGGAAATTACTTGCATGTATCACATGCAGATACTAATAACTACGCGCCTAGAAGACGGCGAGACCCGAAAAGATAGGAGACAGATGTGATACTGAGAAGCGACTTACTGGAGCTGGTAGAACCATGAACAAACTTGGAAATATATCACGTAGCTGAGATGAGCTGTCTGCATCAGGCTCCTTTAGAAATTCCAAAGTTCTGAGAAGCATTTCACCTCGTCCCATAGCATCAGGGACGAAATTCAGGACCAATGAAAGACTAATTATGTCGAACCGTTCAGAATCATCTTTAGGTAGCGGTCTTTTCATAAAGTCCTGTTGTAAAATGCCATCGCTTTGACTGTTTAAGTCTATCCTTTCCATATCGAAGACACCACTCTTCGAGCATACATTCGTAGTACTCAACGCACCCACCTCAAGCATCCTCAGTCGAGTTCCCGTAGAAGAAGTGAGGCTCGGGTCCATCGACTTAAGCCATTCCATAAGTACACGGGAGCTGTCTCCCCCGCGGTCAAGGCGCTGACCTTGAAGGCTGGCTTGCTGGTACTTCTCGAGGCCGCCCAGGACAGCAATCTCGGCCTCAACTGCAGCCTGCGTAGCTATATCGCCTTTAGCTACGGCTTGAGCTTTCTTCTTCTCTAAGACATGGTGAGAATTAATTAATGTCCTAGTGGCTTTTCTTGATATCGACTTCGGTTTCAAGACGGTTGGAGGCCGCCCTGCAGTCAAGTTCTTCACCCGGCCTCTCTTATTTACCCCCATCACGCCGGCCACTCTCAAGTTAGATGATGTAGTGGCCTAGTCGCTGTTGTGTCGTATAAATCGTAGTAGTTATGTTTAAAGGTTGTGGTAAGGAAGGTTCTGGTTGCCTGGTATTGGAAAAGGATAAAGACAGTGTTGAATGTCTACGAAGCACTGTATTACCAAGTACAAATTAATAGACAAACACAGTGTATGAAGTTCCAGGAAGTCCATATATGTCACGTGCTAAACGCATGAATTTTTGGCACTGGCTAACTAGTTCAAATCTTCCGAAGTTTTACAGAAGTTTACCCAGAGACTTCGCAGTGGGTCCACAACGCAAAAATACCCTAAGCGAATTTTGCAAAATCTACCTCCAGCTAATTTTCGGCCACTCGAACTTCGCTCGAACTTTTCAACCTCCTCGAGACGACAATCGCGAAGTCATACTAACAGCCAACATCCGCCAGCACAATCACAATGGGTCCCAAGGTTCCTGCGAAGAAAGGTACATCATCATCACCACCACTACCACCATAAATAAAGTCTCCAGTCGTCTTCGACAAAAATTTCCCACACGATGATTATTCGTCGGAATTGGCGCTGCTTCCGCGCGCGTCTTCCTGGCCGATGCATCGAGCAGAGCAGATTTTGCGAGTTCTGATTCAAGAGCGATTGCTGATGCGTTTTTTTCTCTACACAGGCGGTGCCTCCAAGGCGCCGAAGGGTCTGAAGCAAGCCAATGCTGCTGCTAAGGCTGCCCTCCGAGGCGTAAGTTAACAATGAAAATGTCGATATCGATATGTGATGATCGACTCCCATAAAAACTTCCACCTCTCGGAATTCTAATGGTCGGCGCAGGACAACTCGCACAAGAAGCGCAAGGTTCGCACCTCGACGACCTTCCACCGCCCCAAGACCCTCCGGCTCTCGCGCTCGCCCAAGTACCTCCGCAAGTCGGTTCCCCATGAGCCCCGTCTGGATGAGCACAAGATCATCATCCACCCGCTCAACACCGAGAGCGCCATGAAGAAGATCGAGGAGAACAACACCCTCGTCTTCATCGTCGATGTCAAGTCCAACAAGGCCCAGATCAAGCAGTCCCTCAAGAAGCTCTACGACATCGACACCGTCAAGATCAACACTCTTATCCGGTAGGTTTCCGGCCACTATCAAATTATGGTCTTGGTGGTATTTTGGTTTGGTACGGTTTTACTGACTACGTGATACAGACCTAATGGCTCCAAGAAGGCTTACTGCCGTCTGACCGCTGACGTGGACGCCCTCGACATTGCGGCTACCAAGCTCGCCCTTGTTTAAATTAGCAGCTACGAGAGGGGGATACCTGATTCGCGCGGTGGTTCGGCAATGATTTGGCAAGTGATGACATGGCAGATTGTGCTGATTAGATGCACATTCTCGAGTCCGGGTGGACTATATGCATAAAGGCCGGCGTTGCGTTGCCTATGGATGGCTAGGCTTATGAGATCAACGGAAAAGAATTGATTTCTCAGACACGAATTATTGAACTTTTTAAATGTGATTTGATTGTTTATGTGTTTTTGCTTCCCAAGTGATCTATTAGTGGTGGTGATTTTATGGCTACAAGTTTTATACGTCCATCTGGCGCCTTTAACCCGGTCCCCGGATACCGCGTTTAAGACAGTTCGTTCCACGCTGTGCGCTTCTAACCCCCCAGCCCTTAATTCTCGTAGCTATTCGTACAATTCCTCATCGTACCTAACGTATTCTCTCATGGCCGGCGCATGTCGATCGTAAAATCTCATACCATCGATTTACATCTCTCTAAGTTTCCAGGCAATATCTAACCCTGGCGCAAACTCTGCAGGTGCTTGACGGTCAACTGGCTCACGTCAATAAAGCGGTTCGCGCAGTTGACCATGCAGCCCTCCTCGCTCTTGTCCAGCTTGCCGCTGCGGATCGTGCTCGTCATGCACTTCCGGAAGCACATGTCGGTTAGGGAGTGAACGGCTACAGGGGGGATATGTGTTAGTACCTAGTTAAGCGATACTTCCAATTTTCCAATTTTGTGGCTTTTGCGCGCGCGGAGGCGGGGTGAGATGATGGGTGGGTGGATTGGGCAGATAGGTAGGTATGTAGTAATTTGTACAAGGACGAAGGGTCAGGGTTCGGGAGAGAAACTACGTTGACGTACTGGTCTGGATACGAGCCTTCTGGCCCTCGTTCGCGAAGAACTGGCGCAGCTCGGCCTTGTCGTTCTCGTTCAGCTTGCTGAGGTCGAAGTCGTTGAGGTTGATGTTGCCGTCGGCCATTTTTGCGGTGTGGATCTTGCGTACCTAGGTATGCCACCTAACTTTGAGAGGACAAGGGTCGCGGCGTTTATGTAAGGGCGAGTCTGGGGCGGGGGGTGGGGTGGTCTTGTACTGCGAGGTTGGTGAGGGCAATGACGATGTCTAGGTATGTACTCGAGGACGAAGTAAATTTCCTGGAGGAGCTCTTTTTTGTCTTGTCAAATTCGAAGTGTATTGCTTATCGATAAGACTTATACCCACTCATATACCTACCATATGGCATACTCTACTTCTGAATATTGAGATTTCATAAAGATTTGAGACTTTTTACATGGGATACACTAAAGGAAGTAGGCGTATATATTCGTAAATTCTTTTTATATTTTTATATATATAGCATTACAAGTTTCCATGTAGAGCTAGGCGTGTTCTTTACCCTATGTAACTATAGAAGAACCTTAGGTAGTTAGTTTACCTATATGCCTTTACAAGTTGCTCACGGGATATCCTTTTCATTTCCAACCTCCTTTTGAGCCCAAATTTACAATGACCGGCCGTAAAATAACCTGAATTCATCTGTTGAAGAAGCTATACGTTATACAAGGGTATAATTCATCTCTATATGTACTTGTAGGGATTCATAATGCCATTCTAGAAGTTATGTTAGTATAGTCTAAAGACACAAAGAATTGGAGTGAGGGGATACTAACCGGATCGTAGAGGTTCTTAATTTGCTTCATCAACCCTATCGTCGTCTCGTTTCGACTATACCCGATGTACTTCTTTTTGGCAATACCTAAGCCGTGCTCGGCACTGATGCTGCCGTTCCTCTTGCTGATCCACTCGTAAACAAACGGCTCGAGAGCCTCCTCTACCTTCTTGTCGTATCTTCGCACTGCAATATTTAGGTGCAAGTTGCAGTCTCCCATATGACCGTAACCAACGACGTCGACGACAGGAGACTCTTCGGTGCCATCCTTTAGCCCTGCGTCTTCTAGCCTCTTCCTGGTATCTTCCACAAGCTGGTACATTTCTTTTATGGGAATCGACACGTCGTATTTGTATACTCCACCCCAGTGCCCTAGGGTCTCCGTGATGCCTTCTCTTTGGCTCCATAGCGACCTGAATTGGGTCTCATCTTGTGCCATAACACCATCGCTAACAATCTCCTTGGTCATGAGATCTTCGAGGAAGCTTTCCAACTTCTCGCTATCGTGTTCCGAGTTTGAACCGCTTGTCTCTATTAGACAGTAGAAAGGGTGTTCGCCATCGAGCGGCCGCTTGTTCCCCTTGACCTTGTGGAAAATGTTCTGACTCTGGGAATCCATCAACTCGAAGGCAGATAAGATTTCACCAAGTTGCGTCTTAGCTTCCCTGAAAGCTTGCAGGAGCTTATCGTAAGATTCAACACCGAGGAACGCAACATTGACAGCCTTAGATCGTTGGGGGCAGTGTATCGATACCGCAGTAATCATTCCAATAGTTCCTTCTGCGCCGATGAAGAGCTGCTTCAAGTCGTAGCCCGTGTTGTTCTTCCGCAGCCTGCTCAAGTCATTCAAGATTGTCCCGTCGGGAAGAACAGCCTCGACGCCTAGGACAGTTCCGTGTAAACTTCCGTAACGCAACAACCGCAGTCCGCCAGCGTTGGTCGAGACATTGCCGCCGATGTGGCAGGAACCCTTAGCACCAAGATCTAAGGGGAAGATATAACCCTTCTCGGCAAGGAACTGGTCGGCTACTTCTAGTACGACACCTGAATCCGCAACTAGGACACCGGTTACTTCATCAAAGAATCGGATCTGGTTCATTCGGCTAGTGCTGACGACGATCTCATCGAATACAGGTACGGAGCCGCCGACAAGACCGGTATTACCTCCTTGAGGGACGACAGCCAACATGTTTTCATTACAATACTTCAGGATCTTACTGACTTCCTCGGTAGATGCCGGTTTCAGCACCAATTTGCAATGGCCCTTGTACTTCCGCATCCAGTCCATATTGAATGGCTCCATCTCATCTTCCCCAGCATTGCCGGTTACACCGTCGACGATAGCCGATTCCTTGCCGAGAAGATTCTTGAAATAATCCACGTGCTCATTTGTTATCTGAGCAAAACGGCCATCCCGCTTGATTTCGGGGTAGGAATCGGTTGTGAATCCGGCGCATCTTACACTAGATTCTCGGAGCCTCTTCGGAGCGGTGCTTGAGATACATCGCACAGCAGATATGGCCGGGTTGATAACCGCTACGGATCTTCTCAAACTCGGTATCGCTACCCGGTTCAAAGCGGGAGCGAGTCTTGACCTGCAAGCCATGTTCTAAGATGATCAAACCGCTGTCACGGACGACGGTTATAAAAGTAAAAACATTCAATTGAGTTTTAAGCTTATTAAACTACTGGGATGACGCAGCAAAAATAATTAATTCTATGGAATTAGCCGATTCTATTATGACGGCGAAACTCTATTCCCGGGCAGCCGCTTTTTGTGTACGCAGCAGGCCGGTGGAGAGATACATTATGTACGTACCTCTTTATGTACCGTAGATCTTACGAGGGACCTCAGCCCACAGGTCCACTTCCAATTTAGGTTAGGAGTCACTCTAAAGCCGAGACCCTGTGTTTATCTCCTTATCGATAATTATTAAGACCCCGTACTGCCCGTAGCGGGGCTGGGAGAATAAGGGGGATCCCCTTAGCAACCAATTATGGACGTTGAAAGAGGCAGGAAGAAGTACACAAAAGTACAAAGTACACAATCACCAAAGCAAAGCAAAGCATTCCCAACTCGGCAGCTCAATGCAACGTTAGCAACACCACGAGAAGAGAAGAGAAACACGGATTATGCAGAGTTAATCTGTATTTACTATTATATCTCCAGCCTCTTAATTGTTCCACAACTTTTAAGCCACTAGTATTTCAACCCGATCCCGCGCCGCGCCTTGTATCCCGCTACAACATTTCAACAAAGCCGAGATCCCGCAATAAAGGAGCAAAGGAGACCTTCAACCGAATAAATTCTACCCAACCGATCGCAGCCCGAATTTCAAGTGTTCGCGATCCCACGCTCACCCGCGTCCCTCGCCGCATCCCAATATCTAGTCTTCGACTTCTTCGGAAAGCGATAAATAGTCGAAGGCGAAAAAGGTCGCAGAAATACGACTTCGAATTGCATCGCGACCGCTCGTTCTACCTAAGCTGCCCCTGAGCGGCCGGGGGGCCTCGCCTCATCCAAGATGGCTCACCAATGGATCAACGTCCAACAGAAGACGTTTACAAAATGGTTAGCCAGCAAATCTCGATACTTCCTTTATTTATGACGAGAGATATTGTTTCTCTATTACTAGTAGCAGGAACTGACATGACTGGAATGTTAGGATGAATAACAAGATTTTGCCGAGGGGTTTAGTGGTTAAGGATCTCGTTACCGACCTCAGCGATGCTGTAGGTATATCCGCTGCCAGACCAATAGATCTTTTAACTGACTATCTTGATTTGTAGGTACTTCTAATACACTTGCTCGAATGCTTGTCTAGCGAATCGTTGGGGCGATATGCGGCGAAACCGAAGTTGCGAGTACAAAAGTTCGAGAATGCCAACACGGCGCTCAACTTTATTAAGTCGAGGGGGATTCAGATGACCAATATCGGTGCAGAAGATGTAGTCGACGGAAATCGCAAAATTATTTTAGGTCTTATTTGGACTCTTATTCTGCGATTTACCATTAGCGATATTAACGAGGAGGGTATGACAGCCAAGGAGGGTCTTCTCTTGTGGTGTCAACGTAAAACAGCCTGTTATGACGAAGTCGACGTTCGGGATTTCAGTAGTAGCTGGAATGATGGACTCGCCTTCTGCGCGCTGTTAGACATCCATCGACCCGATCTTATCGACTACGACGCTTTAGACAAATCCGACCACCGAGGTAATATGCAACTAGCATTCGATATCGCTAGTAAGGAGATCGGTATCCCCGACTTGCTAGATGTCGAAGATGTTTGCGATGTTGCTAAGCCCGATGAGAGGAGTTTGATGACATATATCGCCTACTGGTTCCACGCGTTTTCGCAGATGGAGAAGGTTGAGAATGCTGGCCGACGAGTAGAGAAGTTCGTTAACAACATGCAAGGAGCATGGGAGATGCAGAGTGCCTACGAGAAGCGGATGACAGAGTTGTTGAGACAGATGAGGGAGCAAATAGAACAATGGCAGCAAGCAACTTTCGAAGGAACGTACGTCGACGCGAAGAGGCAAGCAACCGAGTTCGCATCTTATAAGAGGGGCAAGAAGAGAGAATGGGTCGCCGAGAAGAGTGACCTAGCTACGTTATTAGGAAACATTAAGACTAAGCTTGGCACCTACCGACTTAGAGCCTATGAGCCCCCTCCGGAGCTGTCGTTGGAGACAACGGATAGGGAATGGGCTAAACTAACCGAGGCTGAGATGATGCGCGCCCAACTGATTAACGAGACTATTAGAGAGTAAGTTATTCAGGTATAGTTGATTATCATTCGCTGACCATTATCGTAGTATCAAGAACGCTCTACGTAAATCGTTTGCCGACAAGGCCAACGACTTTGCGCTGGCTCTTAATACGATGCAAATCGCCATCTCGGGTCTCGAAGGAGACGTGGAAGATCAACTTCTGCACGTGCGAAAATTAAGTGATAATCTGCCGCCGCTGGATGCTTACCTAGAGAAGATCGCAGCCGTCGACGCCAAGTGTCAGGAAGCTAACATCGAAGAAAACGACTTCACAACTTACACGTACGACGAGCTGCTATACGAATTAGGACTCATCAAGTCGTCGGTGCAGAAGAAGCTCGCCTTCCTAGAGAACCAGATGGTGGCGCGCAGCATGACGAACCTGACGCCGATCCAACTAGAGGAGTTCGAATCCGTGTTCCGATACTTCGACCGGGACGACACAAACTCGCTGGCGGAGCTGGAGTTCTCGGCGGCACTGGCGTCCTTGGGTCTGGTGTTTAGCGAGGACGAGATGCACGACTACTTCGTGGAGACGTCGCGGGGTCGTGACAGAGTCACATTTGAGCAGTTCATCCGATTCATGGTGGACGTGACGGAGGACCAGAATACCGCCGAGCAGGTGTTCCAGAGCTTCCGCGAGGTGGCCGACGGAAAACCGTACGTCACCGAGATGGACCTGCGCCACTCCCTCGTCCCCGACGATGTTATCGAGAAGCTCTGCGAGATCGTGCCTCACCACAACGGCCCCGACATGGCGCAGGACCGCGGCGTCGCCCAGTTCGATTATATCAGCTTCATGGAGAAGCTGATTTCCGGCCCTGAGCGCCGCGGTAGCGATAGCGGCGGTACTGCTCCTAGTGCTGCGGGGGCGGGGGCGGCGCTTCAGGATATTACGAATGGCAGGGCTAGTCCGACGAAGAAGGCTAATGGGTATCATTAATCTCCCAGTCGAGTCGAGGCGAGTCGAGGCAAGTCGAGCGTGGCCGGACTTATAAGAGTGCCAGGGCTACTACAAACACACACACACATACAGACATACGTAGGTATTTAATAACAAGTAAGGCGGGCAAGGGAGCTCTGGGCTCGAAAGCAATCAGCTGCGTTAGACTGCATTTATACTTTTTTTCATGTTGCAGACTACCCCCCCTTGTATGCGCTGGGAGGCCGGAGGAGAAGGAGGAGAAGGTGGAATTGTGGTCGGATTAAAAAAAAAGAACCTTCGCAGGGACGAGACAGTGGCTATCTAGGCGAGGCTATCTATGTCGCTACGGAAGCAAGTTAATACAGAGAAGGGAAGACGTGAGAGGCATGCATGGAGGGGAAATATGAGGATGAGGAGGAAAAAGCTGACATGACTCGCTAGCTGCGGCTATGAGATACCTGTGCTATGCTATGCTATGCTATGCTATGCTATGCTATGCTAGGAGGTCTGAGCTTGAAGAGAGAGAGAGAGAGATTAGGTTAGGCTACTTTTTAGGGAACCGCATCGATTGGGCTGCGATGTGTGCGTGTGTGTAGCCAGCCAGCCCGTTTCACTACTTACTAACTAGGTAACTAACTAGTGTTTCCGTTTCTCGAAAGTTGGCGTTTTGCTTTGCTTTACGAGTTCGAGTTCGAGTCAAGTCAAGTTGAAGAAGTCAGGGTCCTGTTGATAGTTTATATATCTCATCCCCCTTGATTAATACAATACGAAGATAATAGTTGCACATCATCATCCTTGTTTTGTTTGTTTTCTTTTAAGTATCTGTCTGTTTGTTATTTGATTTCATTTTATTGGATGATTTGTAGTTGAGACGTGAGTGCGGTGTGAGTGTGTGAGTTACCATCAGCGTCTCACTTAGATTCTCTCCCGGTCAACTCCCATTGCCTTCCTCTATATAAGACCAACAAACCAAAAACCCTCCTCCATCTTAATTGCGACGTCCCGTCGAAAGAAAAAACTCCAAAGCCATGCAAAATGCGCTATAGATAGGATCTCACGAACCGCACGCGTGTGTACGTTTCCAGCAATCGCTGTTAGCAAAGTTTACCTATATAAAGAACGAACCAGTCGCCTATTCCTTGAAAGCATCCATATCCTTAAGAGCACCAGCCAGCCGGCGGTAGTCTCGCAGCAGCTCTAAGACATCGCCAATCCTTAGGTCAGTAGGGTTCTGCAGTTCCATAAACTTCTTCTTGGGCGGATCGATTTTCGGGATATCTTTCGGCGGTAGCGCCGTGGCGATATCTGGAAATGCCTAGGCGAATATGTCAGTATGATATACTCCGTGTGAACATTCGTAAAATTCTCACCGTAGCCAAGTCTCCTCCGTCTGTCGTCTTAGCCGTACCATCCTTCGTAGGTGTCACGGGAATCGTCGCCGCGCGTCCAAACCCACGCATCATGCTCATTCCTGAGAAGCGGTTCATGGGGTTTAGAGAATTGCCTAGATTCCGCATCGATTCGACCAAAGCCGGGTTGGAGGATGCAGGCGACGATGTTGCGGTTGGAGTAGGAGTTCTCTCCTTATTATCCTCCGTGAACAGTACCTTTTTAGAGCTGGTTGCACTCTGGGCACTCCTTGTACTGTCCGTGCTTCGATCCCTTGCCGGCTTTTTACCACCAACAAGGGATAGTAATTTATCATCCTTTCTAGGTGTCGGCCGATCGGGATCCTCGGGTCCCTGTGCAGAATTCCCATCAACGGAAGTATCATCTTCTGGAGGTGGGGTGCCTATGAGTTTCCGTGCCTCGTCTAGGGTTCGCGGGACAACTAGTTCCCGTCCGCTAGCGGAACTGTCTCGAAGTTTACCAAGTAAGAACTTATAGCTATCGCCTAGACTGGTTCCGATGTTCTTGAAACCTTGGTCGGCTGTGCTAAACAGCGAGTCGCTTGCATTCCCAAAAGCCTGGGCTGGACTTTGAATAAGGTCGCTCAACCTGCGGCGTTGGATAGCAGCCCGCAAGCTGTCGGATGACGGTGAAGGTTTTGCACTCTTAATATTGTCAGGAGTTGCGGCAACCGGACTTGGTGTGGTTGCGGATAGGCCTGCCGTGTAAGCAGGCGGGAAGGTCTCCGTCCTTTGCATCTCAGGCCGGCTCTCCGATTTTAAGGGGCCCGACGACGCCTCATCCGCTCTAAGACTAGCAAGATCTACTGTTTGTAGGAAGGTGATTGCGGCCTCGAGGTTTGTTAAGCAATATGCGGCTTCTCCCTCTAGTTTCTCTTCCCATCGGAATCTTTGTATGAAATTGGAATCGCTAATTACACCGAGCTTTTCAGGCGGCATAGTTATCAGCGTATAGATGAGCATCGGCATAATCTCGTCGGCTGACGAAGAAGGGTGAAAGTGAGACAACGTGTCAACGATGCTCTTATGAGCAGCCTTGAGATGATTGAGCTTGCCTAAGGGGTACCTCTTCTCATGCATCAACATCAAGTCTTTCCGGGCTTGGTCTAAGTATTCTCGAATCTGCTCTTGCTTCTTCATGCGGGCTTCAGGAGTGTCCTCGGAAACTTCTCCGAGGTCGACGCCTAAATCTGCAGGCCCAATACCAACAAGAGCCAATGCAGCTGTCTTGGATCTAAGCTTGTCGTCCTGCGCCTCATCTTGGGTAGTGCGATGCCGATATATGCGGTCATAAATCCCTTCGCAAAGCCGTCTTTCAACCGCCTCCTCCAGTAGGATCCTCTTCTGCTCCAGCGCCTTTTTAGCTCGCTTTCTATCAGCAAACTCCTCGGCCGTGAGCATTTGTTGCTCTCCCTTGACTAGCGTTTCTTTAGCTTTCTCCTTGTTGGTAAAGGAAGCCGCTTTGGCTCTTAATAAGCTGGCTGGTGAGCTTTTGGAATAACTCGACGGAGTTGGCGAAGTTTCTCGCATCTGTCGTGTAGCAAGGCTATCTATATGGGTTCGGATATGCGAGGCAGCAACGTGATAGAAATCCTGAAATAGCCTAGACAGATGATCGATATTCGGTGGTGAGGGGTGAACCTTAGCGGAAAGCGAGTCGATGAAGCTGAGGTAAAGGTATTAGTCGTGTCCAGGCCAGACCAAGATTCGTCTGAACTCAACTTGTCCGCCTTGCTAATCAGCTCAATCGGTATATCGTCCATGTCCACCGAAGCGCGGGGGGCTTCAACTACATCATCAGTAGTCTCTGACTCAAATGTATCGATCCTCTCTTTCTGCCTCTCTGGTGGAGTTTCCTGGGTAATTGTAACGGGCGGGATGGCACCATTCTCTGTGGTATTTGCGCGTTGAGGGGTGGGTCGAGGTTCTTTCGTTTGCGAAGGAGAGTGACGAGGGAAAGTACTCGAGGTTGCAAGCGACCCGGGTTTCGGCTCGGGGCCTTTGGAGGGGGTAGTAGGCGCCATGAAGAAGTGTGAGAAGCTGGATGTAATGTTAGTTAAAGAGCCAATAGAGCAATGTGGAAGAGCATGAAGTATTTAACAAAGGTATGAAACATGTTGCAGGGACATCATACCTCTCCACTATAGACACGGAAGACGCGAGTTGGCTCGGGGTATATCAAGACGACTATTATATGTAGTATTATCTCTATCCGATTATGATAGATAAAAGGAGAGCCATTAAGGCTAGGCAGGACAAATCATGGATATAGTGTGCATCAAGGCCAGACACAATGAGTAATAGCAAAGATTATGAGAGACGGGAACGAATGTGTTATGTTTAGTAGTTGTGTAGTTGTGTAGGTGTGCAGGTGTGCAGATGTGTAAGAGGGAGTTTGGCTATTCCGGGAAGCTCTCTGCATTTGCATGTACAAGTTACCACCCACTTAGAAGCTACCTAAGCTCCACATCGATACATGATAAATGATAACGGTCTAATAATGGAAGTACCTATAGAAGTTAGTCTAGTTAATTAGTGTAAGTACCTACATAGCTTAACCTTGCGTCAGGGGTAGAACTTAAATTATCTCAGTTTCTCAGACCAGTGACGCGAACTTCGTTGTACCCCTCCCGCCACACCTTTTTTTAACCAATCACATCCCCAACCTACCCCCCCCACGAACTTCGCATCTCTGGTCTGAGGCAACTCGGGCGATTTTTACCACAACTAATTGTTTAATATTAAGATTACAATATTAAAATAACATCAAAAATAATAGTATTGATGCGTTTAAAGTAAGTTTTAATTAATTTGAAACATTTACTAACTTTATTAATAGTAAATATACGCGTTTTAAGCCTTTCGGGGTGATGATTAGCCGCAATATCGGTTACAATACCGGTCGCAACACCGGTCGCAACACCGGTCGCAACGTTTTTGGGAATATACCATGTTAAAGCTTATAACATTATAACGCAATGCCGTATGGGCATGCAAAAAAGATAGAAAAATAGAGAAAAAATAATACTTGCCTTAAGTTATAAAAATAAAAGCTATTTTGTACGTGGTTATAGGTGCAAGCGCGTAAATGTAAATGTTGGTATAACATTTTTGGTATTATTACGTATTTTTAAACGTTAAAGCTTACAATATTATAACGCAATGCCGTATAAGTATGCAAAAAAGATAAAAAAGTAAAAAAAGCAAAATATTAACCTTAAGTCATAAAAATAAAAACTATTTCGTACATTATTATTAAATATTAAATTATTATAAATATAAGGTTTAATTTTTAAAAAGACTATTTTAATTGTGGCTAAATACGCCAGATATATTTTAAATTAAAATTCGTTAAAACTCTAGCTTTATGTTACCCTTTTGGGCCTTGGACCCACAGATACAATAACATGGACCAGGCGTTTTATAGCGCTTGTGGCGCAATCGGGCGTAAGCCCGATTTCAACGAATTCTAGTCTGAGTTTACTGAGATAAAACTTAAACTCAAATACTTTTATAACAAATACATATATTTTACATATGTACCTACCTAACTTAGACATGTTATTTGTTTGTCTTGGATGCCATTCTGGGTTCTATCATCCTACTATGTCTATCTCATTGATTTCGGACACTTCACCTTGGACGTAAACCTTCTTACTGTTCCTAATTAGCACATGATAAGGAGCCACCAACTTATCCTTGTAAGCCTCGCATGTAAGCTGGTAGGTACCTGCTTATGTACATAGGACCAACGTTCATGCAAGCATTAAGATACGGTTACAATAGATTGTGTAGGATAGATGTCTACATGTGTACAGCCTGCGAGGTAGATCAGCGTAACAGACGATAATATTAGATGACACCTATGTAAAATCCCCCTATGTATTTAGACTTTTGCGACGGGATATTTTTGTACCAAGTATAGATGTTGGTATGATAAGGTATAGGTGGTGGTGTACACCAAATAAAGAAATAAAACATAATACGAAATGAGGTTATTATAATAATTGTTATTAACTTAATGATAAATTGTATATGTAAGTATTACCTAGAAAAAATTGCCTTTTATATGCAAATAAATTACGTATTACCACATAATTATTTTTACGTAATAATATTTTAATATAATAATTAATTAATATTTAATATTGGTAATTTTTTTTTTTTTTTTTTTTTTTTATATAATATAATTATAAATTTAATATTAATAATTTTTTTTTTTGTTTTTAATCCGTTTTTTTTATATTATAACGTAATTATTAATAAATTTTATAATAATATATAATAAATTTAAATTAATTTAAACAAATTAAATTAAATTAAAACGGTTAAAATAAAAGTAGTTAAATTTTTTATATATAATTAAATTTTTTATTAAATTTTTTATTAAATTAATTAAAATAAATTAAAGTTAATTAATTAAAACGGTTAAAGTAAAAGTTTTATTTAATTGAAAATAAAGTTATTTTCGTATTATAAATTATTTGGTTAAAAATAAAGTTATTTTAATTAAATTATTTAATTTTATATAATTGTTTTAAATTAATTATTTTTTTTAAATATAAATTGTTTTACGAAATAAACGTGTTTAATAATTTTAAAGCTTTTTTAAAAGTTATTTTATTAAAAAAATAAAATTATTTTAAATTATTTAAAATTTTAATTAAAATGTTAATATAAATATAACTTTTAAAATATAATTTATAATTATATAAATATTAAATTATAAATTAATAAAATAATTTTATTAATAAAATAAAATATTTAATTATTTAATTATTAAAATTATATTTAAATTAATTTTATAATTTTTTATTATATATATAAATGTTTTTGTTTAAATTTAAATCTTTAATAAAATTTATATTTTTATATATATTAAAATTTTTAATAACGTATATATTTAAGAAATTTTAATTTTACAATTTATTTAATAAGTTATAATTTTAATTTAAAAAAATCGGGTTAATAAAATCGTTTTATGTTTTTATTTTTTTTATTATAAAAATTATTAAAATTTATAATAATTATAAAAATTATTAATTTATTTAAGTAAATAAAAATAATTATACGTAATAAAATATAAATATATTATTATTAAATTATATAATAAATATTATTTTATTAACGCATGTTAAAATTTATTTATTTTAAATTATCCCGAAAATATTAAATTAATATAAGATTTTATTATATTTATAATATTATAAAAAACGTATAAATTATAAAAAATTTATCTTTTTTTATTAAAAAATTTAAAATATTATAATAATAATAATTATTTAAATTTATTATATTTTTTTTAACAATATTTTATCAATTTATAATATTATTAATTAATATTAATATAATAAAATATAAGTAATAATATATATTAAATAAAAAAATAAAATATAATATAAAATGAAATTATTACAATGATTATTATTAATTTAATGATAAATTATATATATAAATGTTATTTAAAAAAAATTACTTTTTATATACGGATAAATTACATATTATTATGTAATTATTTTTATGTAATAATATTTTAATATAATGATTAATTAATATTTAATATTAATAATTTTTTATTTTTCTTTTTTTTTTATATAATGTAATTATAAATTTAATATTAATAATTTTTTTTTTTTTTTTTAATCTGTTTTTTTTATATTATAATATAATTATTAATAAATTTTATAATAATATATAATAATGTTGGTAAATATGTATGTATGGTAAAGTAATAAATAAAGTAATTGAAATAATAATGGTGTTAAAATTGGTGTATTAATGATATTTAAAAAAAAAAATTTATTTATAAAGTTATGTTAAAAGTATGGTTTATTTATATATATATGTTTTTTTTTTATTATAAAAAAAAGGCTTTTTTTTTTAGTTATTATGTAATTATTATTTATTTTATTTTCTTTTTGTAATTAATTAATTGTAAATTTTTTTATTAATTAATTTGTTTTATTATTTTGTAATTTTTTTTTTATTTATTTTTTTAATTTTAAGTTAATTTAATTATTTTTTATTAATGTTTGTATAGTTTTATTTAATAAAGTTTTTGTTATTATATTAATTAAATTATATTTGTTATAAATTTAATAAATATTATTAATTTTTTGATTTTTATATAATTGTTATAAAGTTATAAAATTAATTATTAATTTTTTTTTATTAATGTTATTTATTTAAATAAAGTATTAATATAATAAAAAAAAGTTGGTATATAAAACGAAAAAAATTTTAAGAAAATTTATTTAGTTAAAAATTATGTTAATTATATTATAAATAATATAATTTATATTAAACTTTTATATTATATTATAAATTTTATTTATAAATATGTTACAAATAATTTATTTATATTTAATAAATAATTAATAAACGATATTATTTGTAACGCGTATTTTATTGTTATAATTTATAAGTTTTTTATTATTAAATATAATAATATAATTAATTTAAAAATTTATATTTTAATTATTAATAAATAATTTATTTATGAAAATATATAAGCGTAAATTTTATAAGTTTAATTTAATAAAGTTAAGATTTTGGTTTTTATATTTTATTTATTATTTAATTTACGTGTTTAATATTTTTGTTTTTTTTAAATTAAATTTTATATGTTATATTGTTATAAAATAATTAAAGGTTATTTTAAATTAATAAATGGATGTAATATAAACATTTTTTACTTATTATTTTATATAACGTTTTATTATATTAAATATTTTTAAATTTAATAGTTTTAACTTTTTGGCTTATTTTTTTTAAATAATAATAATTATTTTTTTATAAATTATAATATATAATTTATTAAAATTTTTAATTATTTCCAATTTTAATATTTTTTATAATTTTATTTTAATATTTACTTTTACAAAAGTTTTATTTTTTTTGGTTAAAAAATTTATAATATTAACGTTTAATATATTATTTATTTAAAAATTTATAATATTAAACGGTTAATTAAAATTTATAATTAATAAATATAAGTTAAAAATTAATAAAATTATATTTAACTTTTTTTAATAATGTTTAAAATAAATTTTAAATTAATATATATTTAATTTTATTAATTTATATAAAAATTTAACTATTTATAATAGTATTTTTTTAAGGTATTTTTTTTTAATTTTTAAAAAAAATATATATATATTATTTTTTACATAAAAGTTTTAAATTATATATATATTATAATAATATTTTAAATTATTATTTTTATATTTTATTATTTTAAAATAAATATTAATGTAAATATTAAATATTAATTAATGCATTAAATTATAAAAGTGTATGTTATAATAGATTTTTTATTAAAATTTTTATATTTTTATATTATAAATTAAGATTTTTCGTATAATATTAATATATTTTTATTTTTAATTTTTTAAATTATATGAAATTTAAAAATGGTTACGTTTTAATAAATTATTTTATTATATATTTTAGGTTATAAAATGTTATTAATAAATAAAATATTTAATTTTTTTATATTAAAAGTTTTATATGGTTTTTTTAAAGTAATTATTTTTTTATTTAATTT